GCGGAAGGGGTGTGTGCATGCGAACCTGTGGCAGGTGAGCGCGGGTGGGGCGGCCGGGAGCGGAGCTTCCAGGGTCCATCCTGCCAGGAGTCCTCTCAGAACTTGCCTTGCTTTAGCTTGTCGATGTGGTAGGTGAGCTTCAGGGCAGGCCCCAGCTTCAGCCCCATGTATTTCATCATCATGTCACTGCGCAGCAGCAGCAGGGCCTTCCCGTCGATCTCCTGCAAGGATCGACCACAGAGCTCGTGATGGCACCTGGGAGCCACAGCCCTGCCTGAGCCAGGCCCAGAATGCAACAGCAGGGCTGGGTGAGAGAGCCCTGCTCAGCAGCAACCCAGTATGGACACACCAGTATGAACATCCCAGTGAACATCCACGTCCATGCTGGGGTGTCCCAGCTTGGACACCCCAGCATGGACATCCCAGTATTGAGACCCCAGCATGGATGTCCCAGTATGGGCACCCCAGCATGGAGACCCCAGCATGGACATCCCAGTATGGAGACCCCAGCATGGACATCCCACTATAGACACTCCAGTATGGCCATCCCAGCATGGAGACTCCAGTACGGACACCCAAGTATGGACATCCCAGCAGGGACATCCCAATAAGGATGTCCCAATATGAATATTCCAGTATGGACATCCCAGCATGGAGATCCCAGTATGGAGACTCCAGAATGGACAGCACAGGTAGCCCCACATCCACTCTGAAAAGTCTGCATTGCAGGCTCTGTGGGATCAGTTATTGGGTTAAAAAGGGAAATAATCCAGGTGTCAGTTCTTAACTGGATAGTTTAGTCTTAAAAGACCTTGTAACCAGAGACTGTTGGCCATTTTGTGCCTTCTAATGAAAAGCTGCAGAGCTCACAGCACTGAGACTGGTTTTAATAAGAAATAATAAACACCTGAGTCCTACCATGAACTACTGTCTCAAGTGCCTTCAATCCAGACCCAGAGAAACCCAAAACTGGTACAATCACACATCTGGTCTGAAGTGCTGCTGTGTTCTGACTCTCGTGGATTTTATTTGTGTGATTTGCCCCCTCCCAGATGTAGCA